TTTTTGGAACACATTTGTATTACCTACTTAGTATATTTTAAAGATATTTTTAGTTTGGATTTTGTTGTTATATACCATAATTTTGAAATAAATATCTCATTGTATATTTTTATTGCTTTATTCTAATATTTCTTGAAAAAGAAAGAAATTTAGTTAAGATTGAATATCATGATTTCATGAAATAAAGACTACAAATAAAATTATTCCAATCCAACCTTGGAAAGGTTGGTTATCTCCCGATCTTGTCGAATATTCAAATAAATAAACCCTGGCTTGGGTCATGTTGACATACTTGACCCTTGGGGGTGCTTTTACTAACTCTGGACTAACTTTACACCTTTCCTGAATACTTTAGTGCACGATAATGAACTCGTAAAGCTTTACGCACGCTCTATGACTATAAATATTTTAGAAATTTATTAAAAATCATTATCATAAAATTTTCAAAACGATTAAAGAGTTCTTTTGTAAAAAGGTTAAGAATATTTTTTACAGTAAGTTAGCTATTAACTAAGCGTAAAAGGAGGGTCTGGGACTAATACTTTCTTTTTTATGGTCCTAGAAACAAAATAGAACATTGGTGTTACAAGCAAATTACAAATAAACAATCGCTTTTATAAAAACAAAGGTATATAAACTATTCGTATACTTTTACTTTGAAAAATAATTTGGTACAACAATATTTGTTAACCGATATATTTGACTTTAAAACTAGCCTATCTACCCAATCAAACACCTAGGAACAAACTTAGATTTACTTAAAAAGAAAATTGTTTCTTACTTACAAGCTTGAAAATGTATTAATTTGTATTATGTTTATACAGGGTGAATTTTAAATGAGTTCCCCCCCCTACTTTTTTCTACATTTCTTAAGATATCATCTCCGCACCACGTCAGATCATTGTTTAGTAGTAAGTACTTCATTTTGACTGGGTATACATTTTTGGCCGCCATCTTGGATCCGCCATATTGGATACAAAGTTTTTTTTTCAAATGTAAAGGTAGGGTTGTGACCCATTATTTCAAACTAGGATTTTACGCTGATTACAATGCCGCAATTAGTTTTTAAAAATTTTGATTCGTTCTAAAGTTATGAGAACTTTTTATAACTTTATTTTTAGCGCATTTTAAACATTGTGCATTTACAAACTAAGACCATAATCTCAAAATAGTGCTAGATAAAGATAAGTATACACCACCATTCATTGTCGACATATTTATTTTCACTTGGTTATGACGGATGTAGTTTTTTCAGCCGCCATCTTGGATCCGCCATTTTGAAATGTGATCAATTAATTTAAATATGAAGGTGGTGTTGTGACCCATCATTTTGAGTTACTTTTTTATACTGAACTCAATGCCGCAATCCGTTTTTCATTTGCATCTTTGGATTTTGAAATATTGAAATTTTAAATAAGAGTATTTTAATATTTCATCAAGAAAGCTTGATAACCAAAAACGGATTGCAGCATTGAGTCCAGTATAAAAAAGTAGTTCAAAATGATGGGTCACAACACCACCTTCATATTTAAATTAATTGATCACATTTCAAAATGGCGGTTCCAAGATGGCGGCTGAAAAACTACATCCGTCATAACCAAGTGAAAATATGTCGACAATGAATGGTGGTGTATACTTATCTTTATCTAGCACTATTTTGAGATTATGGTCTTAGTTTGTTAATACACAATGTTAAAATGGGCTAAAAATAAAGTTATAAAAAGTCCTCATAACTTTAGAACGAATCAAGATTTTTAAATACTAATTGCGGCATTGTAATCAGCGTAAAATTCTAGTTTGAAGTAATGGGTCACAACCCTACCTTTATATTTGAAAAAAAAACTTTGTATCCAATATGGCGGATCCAAGATGGCGGCCAAAAATGTATACCTAGTCAAAATGAAGTACTTACTACTCAACAATGATCTGACGTGGTCCGGAGATGATATCTTAAGAAATGTAGAAAAAAGTAGGGGGGGGAACTAATTTAAAATTCACCCTGTATATTAAACCTTCACAATATACAGTACTAACCTTTACAGTAGTTGGTGTTTATTTGTTCAATAGTATTGTTATCCAATATAATATTGTAATAAGTACATAGGCCTAATACTAATGAATGTTTTAACTTAAATCCCTATGAAGTACTACTTAGGGTTTTTGTAGTATGTAACATTTACGAAAATATTCCCTCAAATTTTCAACATGTGAAATTTCATTACTCAATAATGTTTCGGCAAATGCAACAACCGTAAAAAGGGCACAATACATTGAGAAAATCAATTATTAAAATATTTTTGAACAATTCAAACAAATAGTTGGACTACTTAAACACTCGAGACAATATTTTATACGGTTAAAAAAGTTAATATGACTAAATATATTATGAAAGACATAGCAAGAATAATTGTTTTACATCTTACGCTGACCCTTTCTCGCCCACAGCATCGGTTATAGGTTATTGGCTATGCCCCTTTGTTATCATTTTTCAGTTTTTTTTTTATATTTTTTATGGTAATTATTTGGTTTCATCAAGACATGTAAAACATACTAAGCTCAACTATACTTCCAATTTGAAAATGCTTAGTTAACCCCTACTCCCACTTGATCTAACAATTTTCTAAATTCACCAAGGTCATATCAAGAAGGTTGCCGAAAACCGATTTCAAATTTCTCAAATGGTTAAAAAGTTAAGGGGGGGCGGTGACAGTTACTTTTCAGTCACCCTTTATACTTATATTGAATTTCATTTATTTATCTTGTAAGTTTAGTTTTGAAAATGATAAGGAAAAGTTCTTGGACAATGCAATGCTTATTTACAAACCAAAGTTACTTAACATACAAGTCAAGTTGAAATTGTTATGTCCCTCCAGAATATCAGTAATACCTTATCCTTCTATAAACATATTAAATATCAACGCAGTCTTCATCCAGGAGGCTCAGACAACAGCTGTCGCGAGGTACGTGCCTTTACTGTTAGATCTGGGGAACAAAACTGAAATTGTAATATTTGTTTTTCAAATTGTTAAAATTTCCTTAAAGAAAACATTTATAACTTTTAAACTTCAATAGGCTTATGATCTAGTTAAAATCTGAGATAATTCTTAAATAATTTTAAATTATATGATAGATGAATGTAAGAATAATATTGGGTTCAACCAATTACAGAAAATTATAATAAACGAATATTCCGTTCTGCGTAAAAACACTATAATGTAATGTTTTATTTTGCTTTGAAAGCTTTATAACACGAATAACTTTAAAAGCTTTTAGCTAGGAATATAATACCTAGGATTAACGTGTTTTATGATTCACTAAACTTAAATAAATTTTTATTGGTATAAGTATAGTTTGGTCATTATTATAGAAACACGCAATGAATAATTGTAGCACTTGCTCGTCCTTTATGATTTTATTCTTGAAAAGTCAATATTATAATACAAACTTAAAGCAGGCTGAGCAGGGGATTTAAGTCTTTTGTTGTATTCAGTTTTCAGTCAAATTTTGGGCTACATAGATCTTTAAATCCCCATGTTATGTTAGACTACTATTTTATATAAATAATTTATTTAAATTTGTTTCATCGGTTGGATTTCATAACAAAGATAAGACAAACTGTGGTAAGTATGTTTTTTTTGATCCAATTAATTATTTTCAAAAGCTATTTTCAAAAACTTTGATTGTTATACGCAAAGAAATATAGTTTAACTACTTTAAATTGAGGGTCCAGAAATTCTTTTTATATCCTAGCTGTTGTGAGTACCAGTTTTTATCACGAAATCTCAATACCACCTTGAAAACAACGGACATTATTCGTGCAATGCATAGTGGTGTTTGCGTTTGTTTAAGCGTACTTTATTGGGCGAGAGTAATGGTAAAGTTTGGTTATCTCAGACATTCACAGACACTCTCATTGTGGACGAAACCTGACAGGTTGAATTAAGCTAAGTTTACAATGAAATTCTCCAATGCTAAAGGAAATGGGCAGATTCAGTGAGAATGTACAGATTAAATCTTAGGCATAAGCTTGAATACATCAGTTTTTAAGATAAAGTGTTATGTATTCGCATGGAATAACCATTATTTTCTACAGTATTTAAACTATTTGAATACAGTCAAAACGTTTATCGGTATAGTATTTACCTAAAATTGTTGCAAAAATATACAGTTACAGACTGTAGACAGATGACAAAGGCTTGGATTTATTTTACAGTGTGGTCTGTAGAGACTACTTTTTCGGTTCTCTGATCGCAAATAAGTAAAACGAATCAATCCATTACGGTTTGGGTCTTTTATTTGTAATTAATTTGTTGTATCTTTATTACAAGATTGTGAAGTTCTTTAGCCACATGTTGCTACAGAAGAAAACACGACTAGGTGAGATATAACGAGCAAAAAGTTCATAATCTCTTTAGACGGCACTCAATGCAAACCTTGCAATCTCACACTAATAAATGTGGTAATATCCCATTATTGATCAATTTGAGAACTTTTTCAGATATTTTCTTGTGATATGACACCTAAGAAACCGGCATTCTTTGTGCAAAAAAGTATGCTTTGTGATTCAATTATATTCCTTAACAAATAAAAAGTTATTCATTTTCTGCAAGGTTCATGTTTTTTTTTTGTCCTAGGACGCTAGGCACGAGCCCGGAATTGTTTTTCACATTACTTCGGGCTAAACCTAGGGGTTACGGCATTACCACTTAGATATAATCCATTGGTGATTTGGCGGTATTTGAACCCAGGACCCCAGGAACCGGAGTCCCGCGCTCTAACCACTAGACCAGCTCGCTCCCATACAGTTAAGCATACAGTACTACATAACTGTATTGAAGGTTATATTTTGATTCAAAATTAAGCCACAACCTCCACAAACGAATTCGTCATTACTGTTCCAAAGTTAAATTTGTCAAACTATTATTATAATTTAAATACGTGATTCTAATCTTGTTGGTATATAATGATCTTAACTGGGATGTTGAAAAAAAAACATACAAGCAAGATAAACCAACGTTTATTGTAAAGATCAAATCCCTGTCAATCTGATTGAATCTAGCATTCGCCCTTCTTTTTTCTTAGCGATGTTATTGTCGTGACGAAATCAGTCCAGTCCTCTTTGTTTCTCACAGTGATGGTCATTACTAACTTATCTTCGAAAAATTCTCTAGTTATCCAATAAATAGAATAATCATCATTGGTCTCAATGGTCAACTTGTTGCCCTCTATGGAGTAGGTAGTGGCAGAGTTTCTCCAAGGAGATTCTTTTTTTTCTCCCAAGACTATCGGAATGTCAAACGAGACGAATGAACCCCTCAGTATAGAACAGGCTCGCATATGAAGATGAAGATTGTTACCTTTCTCTCTCAGCTTAATAACAACAGTCTTCATAAATTTAGTTACCCCCTCTTATGAATTTGCCAAATTTTGCTATTTCCAACGCCTTGTCCACGTTTGTGCCTTGATACTTCTCTACGTATTCCATTCCCAGAAATGGTTTGAGAGTTTTCGCTGGTGATTCCGAAGACGGTTCTGCAATGGCGGCTGCTAGTAGGCCTACCATCACCAACACGAAGACACTCAACATCACTGTAACATAATGTGCCATTTTATTTCATTTTATTTTCAGTTTATTTGTGTTTTTCTACGAAAGTGGAATTTTTTACGTTTTGAAAGGGAACTTTCCAAACCCTGGTATTGTTATTATCTAACGTCGACCTTTTGTTATTAATTCATAGCCCAATGACAAATGGCATCTGGGTCTGGAAATGATCTTGCTTGGACAAAGTTTTACTAGAATTGTATGATTAAAATATTTTTCATCTAGTTGTAAATTTGAGAAAACTGTTCTTTTGAGAAAATTATGAAATTAAATTGATTAAAAAAATAACAAAATTTAGCATGAAAGTCTTGAATGTTCCATGGAAAGCACATGTCTAGATGTAGATGTTGAGGCAAGAAAAGGTGTGATCTAATTGGCAGAAATGTTCCGGAACGTTTAGCCAATGAGAGAACAAATCCACAGTAAGCATGATTTTCCTAGACTCACCTTCATTCTCAGTCTGTCTTGTGTTAAAGTAGTTTGTTACTTTTTGCATGTGATTATGGTAAAGATTAATGCTCTTTTGAAATCTCCCTTTGGGTAAGTCAATTTCAAATACTTATTATATTTGTCTTGCTAAACCAAATCTCAATAAAATAAACGAAATTTAATGTTTTGTCACAAGTTTGTTTGAAGTTTCAATAGCCTTTGTTATCTTGAATTCACTTGTACTTTAACAGAATTGTAATTAAAATTGAATACCAATGAGATTTAATTTTTTGAGCTGACAAAAATTCAATGAATTTGACGAATTAGTCAAATTTACCTGATTTTATGAATTTAACAGAATATTAATGCATACTGAGAAATCAATTAAAAAAGTTGAAATTAAATGACTGAAAGAACCCCTCCATAAAAAAGATAAAATAAAGTGTTCTAAGAACATTTATTTGATTTAATAAAATTCGAAGGATGAAAAAGATAGGAATTTTAATTTACTGATTTTACCTTCATCAAAACATTTTATTTAAACTTTATACAATATCTAAGTTACGTGTAAGGTTACTGGGAAGAAATTATAAAGAGTAACCCTACAATATAGACCCATTGCATTTAATGATAATGAACCCCCGCTGCAGCAAACCTTCCGACTAAGAGACTTTCCATTTGTCTGGATTGATTTTCAATTAATCTATTAAATTAGCATTTATGTTTAACGAGTACCTAGGTTAGCTGCTACAGGGAAACTTATAAAGTGTGTTTTTTATATCAATTGCTGAGTATGAAATAAATAAATCCGCCAAGTTTGATCAAAATATATACAAAAACTAGGCAAGTACAACATTTTACAATATACTCCATGCGAATAACATGGGAATTTTAAATTAATTGTTTTTTAATTTTCTACGTTACCTATCACCGTACAAAAACACTTCGATATACAAAATTTTTAGTTTTTTTTCAGCTCTTTAAAAATGTTTAGAGAAAAATTGATAAAGTTTGTCTTTTAAGCGTAAAAATCTGTAAAACCAATTTTTACTCCATAAAATCCCCCGTTAAACCCTGTTCCCATATACCGATCATGCTGGTTCGCGAAATCATTCAAGTTTATTCCACCTTACACCTTCAAACCAAATTTTATCAAAATCGGACAAAACTTAAGCAGCGGCTACACTTGCCCGATTCGGTCCGGTCCGGTTCGTTTCGGTCCGGCCCGAATTTGTGAGGGGTGGCTACACTTGTACGAATCGTTTCGGTCCGGCCGGAAGAGGTAGCTACACTTGTACGATATTTTGTAGGACACACACGAGCACGGGGCACAAGTACTGCAATACAGAAAGAGTTTAGTCAGGACCGATTAACCGAATAGGCACGGTAGGCACGTGCCTAGGGCGCGAGGCAATTGGCTTTTTTGGGGGGTACAAAGAAAATGAAAAATAAAAAAAATGTTGGTTGTATTTGCTTGCAATTGCGGTAAACTTCCTATAATCCCTCGCGGCCGTGTAGACATTGTAATCGTCTCCCAATATTGCGGCAAAATTCAGACTATTTTCCGCGATCGTGTAGACATAATTATCGTCTTCCATGATCGAGCAATATATGAACATGATTTCCTAAGTTCTTAGGCCTAAATTCCTACAAATAACTATTTTTCCTAATTTAATTCATCACTTTCGTAGCCGAGTGCTCACGGAACCACCCGATCCTCATCCGAATTTCGGGAGTAGGTGGCTACACTTACCCGATTCGGTCCGGTCCGCCCCGAATGCTTCCGCCAAAGCGGATGAATGCTCCCTGGACGATTGTTCCGCGCCGAACCGGACCGTACCGGACCGAATCGGGTAAGTGTAGCCACCTCCATTTAAAAACATGGGAAGCATTGTTCCGCATTTTGGAGGACCGGACCGAACCGGACCGAATCGGGTAAGTGTAGCCGCTGCTTTTACTCAAGTTATCGTCCGGATGGACACACACACACACTACGGCAACAGATACTTCCCTATACTGAAATTCGCTAAAATGTATCAAAGATGCGTAGTGTACACATATGCGAAGTGGGCTATGCAGACCAAAATTCTACGTACCAAAATATGTCGCAAACCTAAACAACTATTACATAATATTTCAAAAATACCGACTCAAAGCCCTATGATGTTATTTTAAAATACCCCTAACGCAGCAAAAAAGTAATTTGAATTTACATTTTTATCTTCACTTTTATACTTTCAGTCCATTTTCACTATAATATCACCTTAAAGATGTTAGATTTATTAACTATTTAATGACATTTGTTCAAAAAGTACTTAGGTTTGCTGTACCAAAGTTCTTCAAAATCGGATGCTTTTTCGTTTGCTTAAAACATATTATCCAGTCTGTATATGCATTTGAACGGATGGTGTTTTTTTGCCTCTGGGACGTCAAAACGAAAAATTTAAATCGGTGCCTGGTCCAGGTCGCCAGGTCCTCTTTGAGGTCTGTGAGACATACTGTGATAGCTTATCCCTTAAATGGGAAATTCACCAAATAAAAAATCATTGTAATTGTATAATGTAATTATAATAACTGCATCAAAGTATAAATGTATAATTGTAATGAATGGGTTGCCTTGGTGAATTCCCGAGTTTAAACGAACTCCCAAATCAAATAGTAACACGGAACCGAATTTAAAACATTTTTCATCCTAATTGAATGGAAAAAAAATAATTGTATTAATCCAAATTTCTATAAAGGATCTCATGTTCAAGTTGTAGCCTATTCGTATTCCATGCAAACTAGTTACTAAATTACAGTTGAAGTCGGTTTTGCAGTTCTTAACATACCTTAACCGAAAAAAGTGTCTAGGAGAAATATGTCTACCTACACCATGTTTTGTGAAAATGTTAAATTATTTAATTGACAAAAGTTTTGTTAACGATAACTTTTTCTTATAGTAGGCATAGTGGAGTAATTAGCACATACCAGGCCTACTGGGTCTGTTTATATCATTTTAAGCTGTTAGCTTGAAAACCGAGCATTGCTATAGCGTGTGTCGATTTGTTCAGGAGGTTTACAATATAAAACATAAAACAACTGTATTAATTATTTCCAGCAGATTTTGATTTTAATTAAGGACAATAATATTATAAAATGTTGTCTAAAGTATGTAATAAAAGGAATTTTATGAAAACATTTAATCATACTAAGGAATTGGTTCTATTTGTCCAACCTTTTTAACAATTTTCTCATATTAAGTTATTAAGAACTATTGTATAAACTGGAATAACGCACAACTGTCATATATATAAAAAAAAATTAGCATTTTAAAACAGAATGCCAGAAGAAATAGTTCGAGAAAAGGATGTTTATATCTATAATTCTATTTCTACGCCGATGGCATCAAAGCTTAGAATTGTTAAGTTACGTTAGTCCACACCCTCAGGTTTACTAAGGTCACTTTGGTCTCGTTGTTAATGCACATAATGCAAAATGTTTCCCCGGGAAGAATGTATTTAACTGTTCTCTAAAATATAAAAAGGCACATAAGAATCTGTTGAGATACCCTTTGTTCTTAGAAAAATCACTACAGTAGTACCATGACCAAGATATATTTTGTTATATTATGTTATATTCTGATATCATACTTGTTTTGTAAAGGCCCAACAAAATTAGTTTAAAGGTGTTATTTTATTGTGGCACCTTGTCGTGTTTAGTATGAAGGTAGAACATTTAAACCATATGATTGGGTACGTTATTTTCTGAAAATGGAGTCAACCATTTAAAAAGGAGCAAAAACAATCGTTGCAAATAAATTAAGACTTCGTTTATATTTATGTTTCATAATATCATATAGATTAGTTACAGTGTAAATATACATACACAGACCTCTGGCAATTGTTAGTATAATCAAAAAGGATAATAAAATATCCATAAGGTTACAGAAGTTTACTCTGAATACGCTATGTTGTAAACAACTGTAACTGTAATATATCTACATGGCAAAAGGAATACTCCACCTGATTGGATGATTGGATGTTTATTTAGGACAGTTTTACCAATTAAAATGGAATACCTAGTAGTAGTATTTTATGCATCAAGAAATAAAGTTAAACCTCGTAACTGCAGTTTATACATGTTCAAATTGTAAAAAGATATTGTAATATCTTCAAATTGCACAACTTGCATCCTGGCAAGGTTATGTAAACCATCCTTATATTAATCATTGAAATAAGATTTAATCTATAATTCATCGTTTAAATGCTTATAAGGTTTTTTTAATGAATTTAACTTGAATGTAGTATTTAAATTGAATGTAGTATGTTTGTAATACCTAACCTAATGTAAATAACATTGGTTATACCAACCATAACACAATTTATGCTTGATTAGATATAATAATATGAAAAAAATAGTAAACTTAATAATTTACATTATTAATAATACCTGCAACGACCTCTACAGCAAAATAAGATACTACACTGTTTGTCAAAGTCCGTTAGTTAACTGGCAAAGTGAAAAACAAGTAAATTACATGATGCCAATGAAGTAATTTTAACAATCATCATGTCGAAAACAAGTCACAAGTGTAACCTATTAATCTGACTCATGATCGAAAACAACATTTATAGCCTACAGAAAGTCAGCGAAATAAAAATCATGAGCGAATTGTAGCAATATTATTGCGGTATCTATTTAAAATAGTGCTAAATTGTATTTTATTTGTATATGTTAAAAATTACAATTACAATTTAACACAGGACTAGCAACCTGAGTCACTTCCTGAATTCAAAACCCGTGATTTGATTTGTCGTTGATAAGGTTTAAAAAGATCATTTCTCATTATATCCCTATTATTTGCATTGCGAGCCCTATTATTTTGATTGCGTGCGCGATCTTATCAAGGTATCTTAGAAAAATTACAAATAGGCCTACTAATGAAACATAATATCACAACACAAAAACTAACGTAACACATTTTCTTCTTTACATTTATAAAAATAACATTACCTACAAAGTTTTACTTGAATTCACTGAAACATCACCAACCAGATAGCCCTATCTTCTTATGGATGTAAACAACTATGTATCATGACCATCTGTTTTGATGTAAACAAATGTAAACTTGAAAAAGTTCAGATGATTGACAACAGAATTCAGCACAAACTATGAAATTTTGAAAGCCTATAGGACGAAGGGCTTTCACGGGATATAATCCAAACATGTAAAAGGCACATCTAGATGATAAATATTTAAATTGATACCCAATATGCCTATAAAAATTAATATTTAGGGGTCAATTTGCTGCACATGAAAATCCAACAAATTCTTATAATAATATAGATATGTAACATACATTTTTATACAGGTGCAAAAAAGTATAACTCCCTAGAAAGTAACTAAAAACTGTTATTGTTGTTCCATCAAAATAAAGTAAGTGTCGATCTGATTCGTGCCATTCCGGAACGATCTCGCTTGGATTCGAACCAGTGACCTTCGGATTTGAAGGTGAGCACTATAATCACTCGACTAACCAGACAGTTAACTGTTAAGTGCTGATATAAACTACTGACTTCTGTAGGGTATTTTGACGTGTTAACCAAGACTCTTTAATCTTGGGTTGGGCCTCTAGTTAACCGGCGTGACTAGTCAATATTTTTTTAATTAATTTTTTTTCCAAGGATGCTAGGATCTAGGTCGGGATAAATTTTCACATTTCTATTTTTCTTTTTCAGAGGTTAAGTGGTAGAGAGAGGTTAAGTGGTAGAGAGGACTTGCTAGTCCTAACTTCGCCTCTTAAGTAAAGACATTTTTCATTTCATTTCATTTCTTCAGGCTAGACTTAGGGGTTTTGGCATTATCTCTTAGATACAACTAGTTGTTCGGATTTGAACCCGGAACATCAGGGACCTAAGTTCCGCGCCCTCTCACTAGTAAATAGTCAAAATATCCACTGAATTTAAATAGTAATGATATCAGTGTAACTACATTTAATTTAAAAGTCAAAAACGTAATATGCCAATATCAATCGAAAGAGTGCTGATAATATAGATTAAAATGTGTGTTTTTATACATATACATAGCCCCCACGCCAGATCATTGAAGAGTAGTAAGTACTTCATTTTGACTGGGTATACATTTTTGGCCGCCATCTTGGATCCGCCATATTGGATACAAAGCTTATTTTCAAATGTAAAGGTAGGGTTGTGACCCATCGTTTTAAACTAGATTTCTATGCTGAATACGATGCTGCAATTCGTTTTAAAAAATCTTGATCCATTCTAAAGTTATGAGAACTTTTTATAACATTATTTTTAGCCCATTTTAACATTGTGCATTTAAAAAACTAAGAACATAATCGCAAAATAGTGCTAGAAAAAGATAAGTATACACCACATAATATACATAAATCTTTTTATAGCACTATTTTGTGATTATGTTCTTAATTTCTAAATGCACAACGTTAAATGGGCTAAAATAATGTTATAAAAAGTTCTCATAACTTTAGAATGGATCAAGATTTTTAAAAACCGATTGCAGCATCGTATTCAGCATAAAAATGTAGTTTAAAAAGATGGGTCAGAACCCTACCTTTACGTTTGAAAAAAAAAACTTTGTATCCAATATGGCGGATCCAAGATGGCGCCCAAAAATTTATACCCAGTCAAAATGAAGTACTTACTACTCTACAATGATCTGACGTGGTCCGGAGTTGATATCTTAAGAAATGTAGAAAAAAGTAGGGGGGGAACTCATTTAAAACTCACCCTGTATATTTCTATTGATTTAGGACCATAAAAGAAGAGGTAGTAATACTTACCGTTTACAAAATGATATTTTTACTGTTATTTTCATTTTGCAGGACGTGTTTTGTTAGGTGAGAGTAATGGTAAAGTTTAGTTGTCTCAGACATTCACAGCCACTCTAATTGTGGACGAAACCTGACGAGTTAAATTAAGTAAAGTTTACAGTGAAGCTTGACTGTCTACAGGAAATGTTCAGTCTCAGTGAATATCTACCAACGAAATCAGAAAACATCGGTCAAAGCTCCCTTTTGAATTATAGGTCTGTAATAATGAGAACATTTTGTATTTATTTACTACATTGTCGTTGTGTCATAAGGGTGTGAACTTGCGTTTATTAATAGTTATAGTTGATCTGAAGCTTTGTTTGTCTCTAGATCTGCCACTTCAGTCAATCTTATTTGCTTTGATCTTATTGACAGGGGCCACCTGGATGGTGGAATGTGCAGCAAAAGGATACAACACTAAACAGTTTAGTTCCAATATATCCATCACACATATTTGATTCCATACCGTCTTTCACATACTTAATTCGGTATTTAGATGTATACAATATGAAGAGGGGATTAGATAATATTCAAGACATTGACAAAAGCGAACATTTTAAAGTACAAAATAAAACATGAACAAAAAAGTAAAGAAAACAAACGGTATCAGAAATCTGATACATATTTCCTCCCATAAGCTTGTCAACAACCTTTATCATAAGCACCTTTTATGGTAAGCCGTGGGAGTAACTATGATAATTTTAAGGGGGAAAATAAAATAAGTCGCAATAACTTTTAAACCATAATTGTTACAGCAATGTTGCTCCATTTTGTTTAGAATAGACAATAACACATTAATTTTAATTAAACGGTCTTTTTGCCTAAAGTCAGATTTTTTTGTTTTTTTATGGTGAAAATAACATAAATTACAATAATTTTGGAGCCATAAAATTTACGGAAATGGGTTGTGTTACATTTTGTAAAAATTTAAAGGACCATAACATACTAATTTTAGTCAAAACCAATATTTTTTCTAAAATCCGATTTATTTTATTTTATGTAGTTATATGGAAAAATAACATAAGTTGTAATAACTTTAGAATCATATTTTTCACGGGAATGGGATGTAAACTATTTTGTTCAAAACTTAAAGGACTGTAACATACTAAAGTTTTAACAAAATCATTCGGGCCATTTTCAAGAAAATCCGATTTTCCGTTATATTACACAAACATCACTTCAAAAACCACTTTTTTGGGTTCAGGGGGAACCAAAACGGATATATCCACTCAAAACTCAAACCCGAAAATTGATACGAAAACAATACTTTCTATGATTACTTTCTATGTTACTTTCTATATACTATGCGAAGGGGAAGAAAGTAAAAACAAAAATTTTTCTCTAGCATCAGCTGAATTTTTAGACAGTGAATTTTCAGCCACGATACACTACTTCACTTTTCTGTCGAGTAAAGCCTCGGCTTTTGAAGATGAATGCTTTTTTATAAGTAGTCAATGTGATTTTATACATGCAACAACTCGCTTTTATCTGCAAACCTTCTAACCTAGTCTATTGACGAGGCTTCCACTTTTCGCACACTCTTCCATCCCTCAGTTCTGACCAATTAGCCTGTATATGGCAGTACAGTAAATGAATAAGGCAAACCACTCCCCCCATCTGTTTTGTTAGTACATACAAAATCTTGCAATTAATTTAAAACTGTGTAATATCCACCATTTGATTTTATACGATGTGGGATTTACGGTAGGACTCTATTTGTCAACGAAATATATATATAAGGGAAGGATGATCTGTCTGAGACAGGATATAGCAGTTCCACATGTACAACTGAATCTTTTTCAAAGCATAGATAGATGATTGCCTCCTTCTCCTTAAACTAATGAAAGTGTTTTTAATGCTAAAAAAGGATAATTGGAGACAAGAACATAATTATTCTGTTAACATATATAGTTTACTAATATAGTTCGTTTAAAGACGAATGCTTTCGTGCTTTTTGCAGAAACAGGGCTGCCACAACAAGGGATGCGATTAAATATCCCTCCCGTTACGTCATCGTGAACAATAAATCAGGTGTCACGTGACCACTGGCAACAGGTACACAGGCTACGAGCTTGGACTGTCAATGTATGGGTGAAACTTTGCCCAAGTTAAGAAATTTAATTATTAAAATAACGCATTTAAAACAAAGTATCTCGATATCATATTGTAGTAAATTATTCCTAATGTTAATGTTAATGGCTTAGAGATTTCCTACGCCTCGCCTTTAGAAAATTGAGTAGATAACATTGATCATATAAAAAAGAATAGGACAATTATTTTATACAGTAAGAATGGAATCCATTCCAATATAATTTTTACTTTTCTAGTTCATAAATGCAGCTAAACATTTTATTGTTATTTGTTATTTAGTTGTTCTCTTTGTATTAAATAAATTGCTAATTGATAATTGTTTTGTAAACTTTAATGAGTTCATGACACAAGTGAATAAAAAAAAAAATAATAAACCACTCAATTTACCCATCTAACTAAGTTGCCAAGTTTTATTTTTAAGCTTTTTTTCGCTCATTTTACAATTCTTCTCAAGAAAACTTGAAAGAAGACCTTGTATTCACTTGAGTATTTTACGTTTAGTAAAAATAGACAATTAGATATAAAAGACGAATAAGACTTCAATTTAATAAACATCAATTACGTACT